GTGCAACCAGAGTCACGGAACGAATTAAATTCGTAACCCAAGGTTCCACTGTATTTAGGTTCCAGTTTTGGCATCCCCTAGAAAACATGGGGCTGAATTCCTGAATTCTACCCAACTGAGCTATTTTGATCATCCAACAAACAATCCCAACCAGAACTTTGTTAATGATCTATCCATCGCCCGCTCTCTTTGGACTTGGACTCTCATTTTCCACACTCCGCTTCTCCTGCACCTTAGATTTTTCCTTGGGCTTCTTGATTTCTTCTTCTGCTTCCTCCTCATCACTCCGAGCCAGGATTGCAAATGCTGAGCCTTCTCTCTGAATGTAAAAAAGGGAGAGAGGGAGGAACACATACAGACCAAAAGACTCAGCCAAGCACAAATTTCACACAATGAGAAAAATACATCTCTTTGACATTTCTTTTTGTGCTCTTCTGGAAGCAAAAGTGATGGATGAATGTCAAGATCTGCATCTGTTTTTTCATTTCTCCTTGCTGATAGGTGCTGAATCTTTCTGGTAATTATTCACCCTTCCTGGGCCCTTGTCACAGAAACTGTCTACAATCCAGCCAGCATAATGGCTAATTCCCTCTTGTTTTCTCAAATCTCCTCTGCAATGGTGTGTGTGTGTGTGTGTGTGTGTGTGTGTTTTCATTTCAAGTGCTTAAAAACCAGGTTGGTGTAGTGGTTAAGGCACTGGGCTAGAGACCGTGAGTCCTAGTCCCACCTTAGGCACGAAACCAGCTGGGGGACTTAGGCCAGTCCCTCTTGCTCAGCCCCAGGAAGAAGGAGGAGGCAAGGGCAAACCACTTCTGAAATCTTGTCAAGAAAACTGCAGGGACTTGTCCAGGCAGTCACCAGGAGTCAACACAGACAGCAGGGAATGGGGGAAAAAGGGTTTACCTTGTAATAAAAGACAGTCTAAGGGAATTATTTCAGCTCTATGTCCTTTGGTTAAAAACATGATCAGTCTCCTTGATTGTATGATTGTGGTTGAAGATTTATTAGAAAAGGTTTATAAAATAATGTGCCCAGCTTATACAACCTAAGACACATTGAAGGAAGGGATACTAAGCTACAAAATCCAACATTAATATCACATATCCAGTATGGAGAACAGAATCGAACTCACAAACCTGTTGTTTTCCTTTGTTCTTCTCATTCTTTCTGCTTTTCCGCTTTGTGTCTTCCTTATCCTCTTCCTCTTCCTGAATGAGAAAGGCAGACATTCCATTTTTATTCATTTTTCCAATGAGGAGAGTAATGTCCACAGGTCAGACAAGTCAAGATGGTAACTACGATGCTGTGATTGAAGCTTTTTTTTTTTTTTTAATAGGCATTGCATGTGTGATGCACATAAAAAAACAGGCAGAGCTTTGATCATACCATCGCAGCCACCATCACAACTTTTCAGACCAGGCCTTGCTAACACCTCCAAGTGAGACTTCCCCACCTTGCCCCTTTTCAGAAGGATGGGCTTTCAAGACAACTTGGAAAGAGAAATCCTTTCTATGCCTTATGGGCTTTTATCTGACAGGGTGTGATTTACGTGATGGCACCAGCTTTCAATGTCAAGGCGAATTCTCTGGAAAGAATGAAGCAATAACAGAAGTGCTTTGGAACTTATGCATATGTATTTCCTTCGCTGTCATACAGCTACAGAATGCTCCCACATGTCTAGCTTTAAAGGGATTAGTGCATGCTTGACTTCATTTATACATTTCACTTTAACTGGTAAATATATTTAAAGATCTCTTTGATCAATGTCTACAGCCGTGCTTCTCAACCTTGGCGGCTTTCACAGGTGAGGACTTCAACTCTTGCTGGCTGGGGAATTCTGGGAGTTGAAG